GAATTATGCTGCTGATTCAGGTAAAATATTCAAATTTAATATTGAAGGCAGATTGTTAGAATAAACGATGGCAGAATTTTCATGACAGAATTATTTATGTTATTCTTCTGAGATTAAACCTCAGAATTCATGTAAAATTCATGATCTTGCTCTTCCTGTCCTGCCCTCTGGTGAATAACATCGTAATCATTTGTTTTATTAAAAGCCATGAATATTAATGTTGGTGTGCGATCTGCTGCTGCATTACTGGACCAGTTCTATGAGAAACGCCGCGTTCTGATCATCTCTGCCCCCTCAGCTGCCAATCACTACTACAGATTCCAGATGACTAATTTACAGGTACAAGATCAATATCTGCCTTTTTATTCTGTATATATTATTTGTGTGTGTGCTATCTATCTATCTATCTATCTATCTGTCTGTCTGTCTGTCTGTCTGTCTGTCTGTCTGTCAGTCAGTCAAACTGAGACAGACTAAATCCAGAAGAACTGTAGCAACATCTCCAAGATGCTTCAGGAAACCTACCTGCAAAGCTACCTGAAAAACTGTGCAAGTGCACCAAAAGCTGCTTTAAACGCACACAAATGTTGATTTAATTTAGTTAATAGAAGTTGATTGATAAAGGAAATCTATTTATGACATTATTTTTACAGCATCCGCTGGCTGTTGGCAGACTCCTTGCGCAAACAAAAATCTCACTGGATTATTACAATTAATGGCAAAATGAATGTTTGGAAATGTAAACTGATATTTCCTACTGACACACTACAGCAAAAGATAGAAATAACTGACTTAAAACCATTTTTTAGCTGGTGAAAATACTAGTGTTCTAATCATTTTGGCCACCACTGTAATATTAAGATGTACGATTATATTTTAATATAGAAATGATTGTAAGATTCATCTGTTATATAAATAGAGAGAGAGAGAGATGAATGATGTTACAATACTTTGTAAGATTATACATATATAAGCAACTAAAATGGAATGATCTGTATTGTGTGTGTGTGTGTGTGTGTGTGTGTGTGTGGTTCAGCATGCCCAGTGTGGTCTGGACTTGAGACATGTGACCGTGATTGAGTTGGTGGGTGTTTATCCAGCTCAGATCGGCCGCATCAGACACAGACTCATCCCTCCAGGACTGGCTCTACAACTCAGGTACTTCATTACTATATTTCAGTCACTAACAACACTTACAATGATAATACTCAGGGCGGTCCTTAGCTGACGCTGGGCCCGGTGCGCGGTAGGGAGCGGGGCCCCCCTCGGTCCGTTCGCCGCGGGACCCCCTCAAAGCGTGGGGCCCGGTGCGACCACACCAGTTGCACCGCCTAAAGGACGGCCCTGATAATACTTACAATGATATACAACACTACTTTGTATTTCAACTTGTAGTGAATTTATCCCAATAGTAAACAGTGTGTTTTGTTTGTGTGGGGCAGGTTGCTGCTGCAGCTGTCTCAAAACTCATTTAGCATGGTGCTGCTGGACAAACAGGGAGTGGATAAGCAGCGCTACACTTTCCCCATCACAGCAGCAGAGATCTTTACCACCATTGACACGTTTCCCCTCCGCACCGAGGAGGCCATACTACAGAAAGAGGCTGGACAGAGCTGCTAGATGTATATACAGTACACACTTTTACACATCTGTTATAAAGCTACCAACCAAACTACAAGAGAGAGTCTGGATAGAGCTGCTACATCTTATCACATATTAAAAACGTACATACATGCACACACATCTCTAAATATGAGTCTCTGTTGTTTGTCTTTTTTATGATGCTCTAATCTATTTTATTTGTCTGGTGTTTCTATTTATGTCAGAGTGGACGGTCTACTTTTCTTAAGAAATACTGTCAAAGCAATATTAATGCAATAAAGGCCTGTTTGATGATTGACATTTGAGAGCATGGGACTCAGCTTTCTTAAAATGCCAGTCATGTTTATCTTGGCTCCCTGGTTTGTTAAATAAATATGCTCAAATTGAATTGAGTACAATAGAGTTATGATAAATATGTTTTCAATTTATTATGTATGGAATGACGTATAAATGTCACAGTGGTAAAAAAGGGAGAAGGCTAACATTATTGAAAGTATTTTGGTGTAGGGTTTTATTAAAATTTCTTATAAGAATGATATATTAAGTATATTTTTTATTTATCTGTTTATTAATATTTAAAAGCTTTTGTAAGTCAGTGGAAGCTATTTTGTTGCCATGTGAAAAACTAGAAATGTTCATGACTCTTGTAGACCACTGTGGATATTTTTTTTTACACATCTTTATATACAAGTAAAGAGGGCAAAGTATATAAAGTGACCTTTTTGTCACATAGTAAAAGGAAAAATGTTGAGATAAAAAAAAAAAAAGACAAACAAATCTGCGTATTAGAATGATTTCTGAAGGATCATGTGACACTGATGACTGGAGTAATGACTGCTGAAAATTCAGCTTTGCTATCACAGAAATAAATTAAATTTAAAAAAAAATCAAAACAGAAAAGTTATTTTAAACTGAAATAATATTTCGCATTTTTACTGTATTTTTGATCAAATAAATGCAGCCATGGTGAGCAGAAGACATCTTTCAAATAATATATATAAACATATCTATGTTTGTGTGCAAGTGTGTATGTAGAAAGAGTGAGAAATATAGAAAACTGCAAATAATAATTAAGGCGAGAGAAAAAAAGAGAGAGAAATGAATCGGCAACAGTTGTTTAATAATAGTTTATTCTCTTTCTGAAGAAGATAAAGTACAGTACAGTACAGAACAGTCCTAAACACTTTCTTCCTGATGAGAGAGTGGAAACAGCACACATACACCAAACATGCTGTGAATCAAACAGCTTCAGACAATATTAGACATGATAACACTTGGATGTCAAACATTGAGCCATATACATGCCACAAAATCTCTCAATTTATTAAACAGTAAGTTGTCTATAAGGTCTATTCACTTGACTGATGCTAACAAAAGTATTACAGGTGCATCTCAATAAATTAGAATGTCGTGGAAAAGTTCATTTATTTCAGTAATTCAACTCAAATTGTGAAACTCGTGTATTAAATAAATTCAATGCACACAGACTGAAGTAGTTTAAGTCTTTGGTTCTTTTAATTGTGATGATTTTGGCTCACATTTAACAAAAACCCACCAACTCACTATCTCAACAAATTAGAATACTCCATAAGACCAATAAAAAAAAGTTGAGATAGTGTATTGGTGGGTTTTTGTTAAATGTGAGCCAAAATCATCACAATTAAAAGAACCAAAGACTTAAACTACTTCAGTCTGTGTGCATTGAATTTATTTAATACACGAGTTTCACAATTTGAGTTGAATTACTGAAATAAATGAACTTTTCCACGACATTCTAATTTATTGAGATGCACCTATAGGTATAAAGGGGGTGCACACATTATTCATGGAGACCTCACAGTGACATGACGGCTCAATAGGATCAACTGAGGAATTAACTATTAAACTCGCCTCAAAACTCAATATAGGGGCTCTAGGCATGGTGCTTATGCGATATGTGTGTGTTTTGTGATCCTTTTTTTTCTATTTCTATTCTCTTTTCGGCTATAAATTCAATGTTTATAGATAGTTTTAGTCTTAGTTTTTTTGTGTTTTTGGTTATAATTATATTATATAGCTTTTTTTTCTTCCTTTGGAGTAGGGTGTTATAGATCAGTGGTAGATGAAATAATCTACTAATATTTGCATGCTGAATTGTGACTAGTCTCATAGAAATGTAATCTTCCCACTTTATCTACTCTACATTTGGGTTTACAACTATCATTTTACCAGAAACATTGGAATTTCTTGGAGGAACTGTAAATCTAGTTCAATGTAATGAATCACACTGACCTCAGATATTCTTTTTTTTTTTACACCACAATTCTGTTTTTACATTGAAACTGGTAAAACTAGCTATGAAATTTAAATCAGCATCAGTCTCTCTTTAGCCAAATTTATGTGTATGTGACAGATCTGACACGATTATCATAACATCTTTTATGCATGTCTATATAAATGTGCTCATAGAAATGACTGATCACATCCAGTACATTGGTCTCATGTGTGCAAGCGTTATATGCAGGTGCTATCTGTGCAAATTGGATTTATTTTTTTGTGTGTGTTTGGAGGAAGTGCTTTTGTGCTTTGTTCTTACAGGACAAATGTGACCTTTGATTGTTGATCATGTTCACTGTGCTCTTTTGAAATAGTCTTCATGTGCTATTCACAGTTCTGGCCAGCGAGCGTTTGGTTTAAAATATAATCACACCTGGGTTGGAGTGTAGTGTTTCGCACCATTTACACCTGGTATGAGATTTATCTCAGCGGTTCAATCACAAGCTGTCAGTGCTAAATGAAGACAGGCCAGTGAAGGACACCTGCCCGTCATCCACTGCGGCAGAAAACTAGTTACATGTAGCTTTAAAATTAACCATCCAATTAAAACATTTCTTTAATAAGCCTGATATCAACATCTTTTGAAGCACACACTTTTGAAGGGTGCTTAATACAGGTACTCGACTAAAATAATTGTGAAAGCAGCTTTAAACTTTATGCCTGTGCTTAGATTCAAATTTAAATGTATTTAGGAGAGACTTTTTCCTCTTCCCTTTTTCACTTTTTTGTGCTTTAACAACATACAGTACTGCACTGACATAAAAGATGTATGTAGACATAAAATCAGAGTTTCTTTCCTTTGAAATCCGATCCCAAGTGGTCACAAGAGACACATTTGAGAAATATGTTAACATCAGGTATAAATGCCAATCTGTCTCAGTCAAGATGGATCTTAATACCAGGTGTAAATAGGACCTTAGAGGCGCATATGTGTGTATATATACTTGTCTTGAGAATTTAGGGTGCATATGCCTGTTGGAATGAGAATCTGGGTAGGGTGAGTACTGCCAAAGAACATAAAGAGCACTTTAAAGTGTCTAGAGGTGACCGGATTTGATGAGTATTGCCAGGGAAACACTCCCTCTTTCTCTCTATGTCTTCCTCTTGGCCATGCTGGATCGCAGCATCAGGGTGCACTCTTGCGGGACCTCAGGGTTGTCAATCATGCGTTGCCATAGCCGCTGCTCTTCCCCGTAGGCATCGTTCCAATCTACTTCCTTCCCATAACTCAGACCTGCAGGTCACAAACAGCTCAGTTAACTGCTCTGTATGCAAGATCAAAACGAGAAGAAAATCTTAGTCGTGCTGCTTATATGTCAGACCCTCGCAGGGGAAAAATTTCAAACAGTCGTTTAAAGAAATTAAATATACGTATTGTGGCTAGCTAGGTCATTTTTGTGTGTGTGTTCGGCTGTAATTCACATCAAAGAGCCCATTTAGTGTATCGCAGAGAAATATGAAAATTGCTGTCATTTGGCTATTTTGAAACAATTTTACAAAAAATATCTTGTCAAAAACAAAATATGCATAAACATAATGGTTTTTATAATGGTTTTACAACTATTCTCCTGAAAACATTTTAGGAGATAGATGACGTGGAGATGTATGGATGAATAGAAGAATGAATGAATGAATGAATGAATGAATGAATGAATGTATGAATACACTAGTGTTTTTGAAAGACGTCTCTTATGCTCACAAAGACTGTGTTTATTTGATTAAAAATACAGTAAAACAGTAACTATTAAATATTTTTACTATTTAAAATAACTGTTTGCTATTTTAATATAATTTAAAAATTACATTTATTCCTGTGATGCAAAGCTAATTTTTCAGCAGCATTTACTCCAGTCTTCAGTGTCACATGATCCTTCAGAAATCACTCTAACATCCTGATCCTGAAACATTTTTAATATCATCATATTATCAATGTTGAAAACAGTTGTGCTGCTTAATATTTTTATGGAAAGTTCAAAAGAACAACATTTATTTGAATTAGAAATATTGAAATATTTAGAATAAAAAAAGAAGTCAATATACTATATATACATTTGCAAGACAAATAAAGGTACAGTTGCAAAAATAGTTTCATTAAATGGCCAGAAAGTGTGGAAATTAGTCTTGTAAACTGATTTTAATGCAAGAAACCTGAAGTACCATTGCTGATTATAAATATGGCAAAAGTGTAGAATTTGGCCTCTTTAATGCATAATCATCAAAGAGAAAACAAATGATCTGATCATGAGTGAGTGAGTGAAGACATGCATAAAACATATTTGTAACAGTAAATTAGTTCAGCGTGACTACAAAATGTGTTGCACAAAGTAGCGCAGCACTTCATGCATCATTGATGATGATTAAGGAAACGTTTGGAAAGAACATTACAGTGGAAATTGTATTCAAGAACATTTGGGACTGAATGATTATCTTAATTTGCGTCAGAGAACATTTCACAGTAAAAGCATTATATAAAAATCTGTCCTACTAATGTGGGAAATATCATTTGAAATATATTATTATCAGAATCCAGCAGGGATAGGAAGCAACGGTAAAGAAGCAGATGATCTAAATGAAAAAACAAGCATGACTGTTATTCCTGAGAGAACCTGAGAATTTTGTGTAACTGACTTTAAATGCTCTCCTCCCACAAATTTTGCATCTGAAAAATGCATAAGCCTATATAATAAGGTCAGTTGCAAAAATAACTGTTTATTTCTGTTTATTTATTTATAGAGCACTTTTCAGGCTACACAGTAGCTCCAAAGTGCTGTACATCACAAGTTAAGATAATGTAAAAAGAAGAAGGACTTAATTAAAACAAGACAACAATAACATCAATGATAAATAAACCTAGTAAAAAGTTAGAATGCCAGAGAAAACAGGTATGACTTTAAGTAATACTTAACTTGAAGGAACTTAACGTATGGGATGCTCTAACCTCGAAAGGTAGGCTGTTCCATAATCTTGGACCAGCGACAGCAAAAGCGTGGTCACCCTTAGATTTAAGACGCACTCTTGGGATCGTTAATAGTAATTTATTTGAGGATCTCAGCATTAATTTTGCATTATATGGTATAATGAGCTCTACCAAATATTCTGGCGCTATTCCATGTAATGCCTTAAAAACATAAGTCAAGACTTTGTATTGGATCATGTAATGCACTGGTAACAAGCCTAATAAGAATAACAGTGGGGTAACATGATCAGACTTCTTAGCTTTCATGAGCATTCTAGCAGCGGCATTTTGTACTAGCTGGAGACGTGCAATGTTAGTCTGACAGGTCCAGGAATAAATAGCATTACAATAATCGAAACGGGAAAAGATGAAAGCATGGACGACTTTTTCTAAGTCACTAGTTGAAAGGAATGATTTTAATTTCGCTATTGCCCTCAAAAAATAAAAAATAAAAATTCCGAACTATAGTATTTATTTGATTATCAAATTTTAACGAGGAATCAAAAATGACTCCCAAATTCTTTACTCTGTCCTGTAGATAACAAGTCCAAGGGCCTAGTATGTCACTTTCAGCCTTGCTAAAAACTGTGCGACCAAAAAATCATAATTTCTGTTTTGCGTTCATTCAACTGAACAAGATTATCAGCCAACCAATCTTTCACTTCATCCAGACACCTACGAAGTGTTACACAGGAATCATTACAATTAGGTCTTAAAGGCAAATAGATCTGCGTGTCGTCTGCGTATAGGTGATAAGAAATACCTTTTTTTTTTTTTAATCCTTCTTAATGGGGGCATATATAATGAGAACAAAACAGGGCCCAATATGGACCCTTGGGGTACCCCACTGGTAAGATGCGCAGAATATAAAAAACAATTACCAACCTTTACTGTAAAATATATTTGCTTTAAATAAGATGCAAACCATGTATAAACTGTTCCTTGGATTCCGACAAAGTGCTTTAGCCGGTTCAATAGAATCGAATGATCAACGGTATCAAATGCTGCAGAAAGATCCAATAGAATTAAAGCAGCATGATTCCCTGCATCGCTTATGAGTAAGAGATCATTCACTACCCGTAGGAGTGCTGACTCAGTACTATGTCTACACCTGAAGCCAGACTAGAATTTATCTAAGATATTATTCTTAGTTAAAAAAGCACTTAGTTGTCTCAAGACAGCTTTTTCCAATATTTTAGATAGGATGGGAAGTTTTGATATTGGACGGTAATTTGACAGGTCATAACCATCCAGATTACCTGTATCCATGCCTTTTCATCTCTAATGTTTCACTGTGTGTCTTTAGAAAATGCTAAAAGAGGGTTTGTGTTGGGGAAAGCTGTTAGTAAATCTAACCCCAAAACTATTAAAATGTTTTCAGTAATTGAAATAAACCTGAGGTAAAATAAAATCTAAATATTAGAAGAAAAACCTGAAATAAAAAATAAATGAGCTGAAGTTGAATTAAAAATGACTAAAAGTAAAATGAAAATAAATTAAAGCAATATAATATAACACAAATATGAACAAAAGGATAAAATAAATTTACTAAAATTAAAATGAAAACTGAAAAGGCTTTCATCTATAATATTGCAATATAATATTGATTTCTGTTTGGTTCATATACACATTTTTGTTTGCAGAAAATGCAAAGCTTGAAATACATACTCTGGATTTCTAATTGACCTTATCCAAAGTTAAAGACTAAACTGAAAAAGGCTGAGCTAAAGAAAGACTCACCTGTCCCTGCCCCGAGCCGCACACCACCCAGGAAGACGTTACTGGCGAAGGGCTCTCTGTCCCACACTGTCAGCTCCAGACACACGTTGTCCAGATCGCTGTGCTGCAGGCCGCAGTATGTGAAGGTGTGATTCCAGCGTGGATTTACGGTGCGCTTCACCACGGCGGTCTTGTGCTTTGTGCTTTTCTTGTCATCAGGCAGCAGGTATCTGGTTCGCAAGAAGAAAAGGATTGTAAGTGTGAGTTTGTGAAGTACGAGTTTGTGTTAAGAGTTTGTGGGAGTTTACAAAGTGAACTGTATATGGAGAAAAAATTAACTCACCCTTTAACAAACGGGTCAGAGGACCCTCCTTTGACGGCTGTCAGGTTTTTTGCCTCCTTAACCAGCAGCTCCACCATTCCTCCTTTAGGAAGAGTGATGTTCTTCTTCTTTCCTTTTAGAAATCCTTTTTTCACTAAGAAACAAAAGTGAGCTCGATTAAATGCCAGTAATATATACAGAGAGCTTCTAGGAGCTCAAAATGTTCTATTTGAATAGAAAATTCAAAATAAAAATTGCTTTGGAAATTTCAAAGCAATCTCATGTTGTTGTTGTGAAAATGATTAGATATTAGATAGATATAGATATTATTAGATATCCTAGCATGGATAGATGAAATGTTTCTAAATTTACGTTATGCATTTTTTATTTATCATTTACATTAATTGGTTGCTTTTATATAAGTTTACTGTATAAATATTCTACTTTTTATTGTATTTAACATGTTTAAAACAAAGTGATTTATAAGTAGCAAAAACAAATAAATTTTCAATAAATAATTAATATATTACTATTAATAATCATAATAAATTATTCTTCCATGCAATAGTTAACTAATCTAACTGTAAGCTGTTTATGACTGATAGGCAACATCATAATTATAAACCACTCCATAAATAAATGAGTGCCATATTAATATTCAGTAATGTGCTGTCATAAAAGTCATATTTTTTAACAACAATGAAAAGGTGGAGAAATAATATAATTTCTAATTTTAAATCATACCTTGCACTTGGTCCAGAGGCAGGGAGACATTTCTCTCTGCAGGAATGTACTTCAAAACCACCGTCAGTTCTCCTTTGTAGTGCATCACTGAGTCCACATAAGACTCACTCTGACACAAACACACACATTTCAGTATCACACTTATCCATGACAACACACTCCTCTTTATCTTTCACTGTTTCTGTTTGTGTGTGTTCAGCTCAGCTCACCCTGGGCTGTAGAGCGAACCACTCCTCTATCTGCGTTTCAAACTCCCAGGAGTCAAAGGTCAGCTCCGTCTCCCCCAGGAAGTTGTTGTGTCCAAAACGATCATGATGCCACACTGAAACCTGCAGTGTGCGCATCTCCAGCTGAGAGTAACTGACCACGTACTATCCAGAGGGACAGAGACAGATTAGAGCCTTTAAATCAATATCTCATCGCTCTCAATACAAAACCTTGTAAGGCAGACATGAACGTCCTCTTACCCTCAGGTTTTCATTGAACACTGGGTTAGTGGTGTTGCTTTTGATGCTGGTTTTCCTCTTGCTTTGACGGGACTTGTCTGGCAGGAGATATGTTTTAACATAGCTGCAAACACACACACACAATACCAAAATGTCTGCTTTTGTACAATACCAGCCTCTGATACCTTTGTATCGATATTTTAAATTGATACACAAAATAAACAACTTTATACAAGTTATGTAATGAATCTAGAGCGGTCAAGGACTAAAATAATTCAATGTCAATAATTAGTGATTCATCTTATAGCTATTGAGTTAAATCATTTGGTTCCTTTTTAATGACAGAAAACAAAAAGTGTTTGTGAACAACTAATTTTGTGCTTAATGCACTTTAATTGTGTGGAAGTAGTGCTGAAGTTCAACTAAAGATATACTGAAGTATATTTGATTGTGTTAAAAGAACTATTACAAGTATACTTATGGTACATTTTAAATATCTTGCATTTAAAGACCGATAATATTCAAAAATCATACAATCCTCATCACAATCCTTTCGATTTTTTGTGTCGATTTATTTAGATGAGAATATGAATGGATACTGGACTGAGGTGCATTTCTGTACCATTTAAAACAATTTTAATAGTACTAAAGTAAAAGAAGGCTTCCGGAGGACACTGATAAAATTAAAATGAAAGGAGTAGTTCACCCAAAAATAAACATAAAAATGACAAAAATTTGACCTTGTTTACATACACATCTTCTAATGTGAGGAACAGACTGAAATTTAAGTCATTAAATTACCAATGTTTTCCATTAATTGAAATAAAATAATATTAAAAAAACGAATGAAAATTAGAAATGCTACTTTAGCCACTAATTGAAATAAAATACCTTTAAGTTGATATACTAAAATTACTCAAAATAAAACCAAAATAGAAAAGAAAATTAAAGCTAAATAGAATAATTTTTTTTTTTTTAAATGACAAAAGCACATAACTAAGCTACTAAAACTTAAAATTCAAATAAAATATACATATATATACACATATATATGATATTCGACTCTACCGTGCGACTCCACCGGGCAGGGACACCGGCAAAGGACATAAGTATCGCTTTTTATCTCTCCTCTTTCCACTTCTGTTTCAGTTTTTTTTTATAAAAACTAAAATTATGAAAATAAAAGCAAATGGCTTTTTGAGGAACATACTGAAGTTTAAATTATTAAATTACCAATAATTATCCTGAAAATCAGCTATTAAAATGTTTTTTCATTAATTGAAATAAAATAATATATAATTATTTGATGAAAAACTAAAAAAAACAAAAAAAACATGAAAATTAGAACTGCTACCTTGGCCACTAACTGAAATAAAATAACTTTAAGTTGATGTACTAAAATTGCTAAAATTAAAACCAAAAGAAAAAAGAAAAATACATAAAGCTAAATAGAATTTAAAAATCCAATAAAAATGACAAAAGCACATAACTAAGCTACTAAAACTTAAAATTAAAATGAAAACTACAATTATGAAAATAAAAGCTAATGCATTATTATTATAAATACTATAATAGTATAAAAATAATACTAAAATAACACTGCTTGTGGGTAAATAACAACAGAATTTAAATTTTTGGGTGAACTATCCCTTTAAATTAATTAATAAAATAATTAATTGAGATAAATCAAATGTTAATATATCCCAAATACATGCGATGCTCTGCCAGGGCTCAAAGTGAAGTCTATAGCGGTGTGTGTGTGTGGCCTTACGCATCCGTGCGCTGTCTCCTCTCATCCCCGGTTGCTAGGCAGCGGCACTCGCGGACGAGCACGTTGAGTGCCCCTGTTTTATAGCTGTAAGAGATGTTGAGCAGGATCTCCCCGGAAACCCGCACGTTGCCATAGTCCCCCGTCTCACTGTACACGCTCATCATACTGTTGATGCTGGTCTGGAGAGCAAACATAAGCAGAGTCTTTGGGGGTGCATCTTTCACAAGCTTGTGTTTGAGTGTACGCCTGACTCTTCAGTGGTACAGAAAGGCAAGAGAGAGAAACTGAAGCCAACAGAGCAACAGACAGACACACATCTGCACTCAAACACACACCGAACACTCACAGTGTCAGCATCTGAGTCAGGTACATTAAGGAAACCCCACTTTCTCTCCGAGGCAGGTGTGGAAGACTAGAATAAGACATGAGAGAGAAAGAGAGAAGAGACGATTGATAGCAGGAAAAAAACAGAGCAGAAAAGTAGAATAAGAAAAACAGAGATAATATGACAGGAGACAGATTGCTGGAGTCAGGAAGGAGCTTTTTTCACATTTGATTATTTGTAGATGTCACAGTCCAAAAATGAACACTGTGTCGTATTTACTCACCCTTATGTAATTTCAAACCCATCTGACCTTTTTTCTTCCATAAAGGGAGTGTTTTAGCAGAACATTCACACGGCTCTTTTCTAGTGATGCACTGAAATTTAGACAATTGAAAATACTCAAACAGCAAAAAATGATTTAGAACATTGGTGTTTAATTAGCACTTCTCAGAAGATGTGTTTTAACCATGTCAGTGTCTATTTGGTGCACACAACATGGATAAGCTACAACAGATAAATGTGTTTTAAAATTTGTTAGGCAGTTTTCGTTTTTCAGCTAAATGAAAACTTTAATTTCTGTTTCTGTGTTACGTAAAAAATAAATAAAAATAAAATTACGCATCACTACTCCATTCCATATAATAACATTGAATGAAAACTGGAGCTGAATGCATCCAAAAATGACAAAAAGCACCATAAGCAGTCTATAGGTCTTTTGAAGCCATACAATAGATGTCAATTCTGGCACAATACATCTTTACAAGGCACATTCGAATTTACATGAAGACTTGTAAGATTTGAGAGCTATGGCACAGAGCAAGATTTTCCTAGTTAAAAAGTAATTATTTAAAATACATTTATTTCATACTAAGTAAAGTTCAAATCTTATTTTCTTTACTGACATATCGTATCCGTGTATCATTCGTTCATTCATTTTTTGATTTAGCCTAATATTGAAAATAGAAAAAATAAAAAACGGCTCCTTTTT